GTAAGGGATCAGCGTCTCAAAGTTCAATACAGTGTCAAACGATGCTTTGGGAATGAGGAAGACAGAAGGTCATGAGATGAAAGTTGGAAGGACAAGTGAATTAACACAAACTTCAGTTACTATTATTATTATTATTACATTTTTAATGAATTGCATTAATTTTCAATCATAAATAGCAGTGATTTTTTAGCTTATAAATAGACAAAGAAAATGAGTATGGAGGTAATCCCCGACTCTGCCTAGCATGTGACCTGGGATTTTCCAAAAGAAGGTCATTTCTGACCTGCGTAGCAAGCGATCAATGGGATCCTCTTTCATGTTGTTGTGCAGAGTTGGGAATTACCTATGCTTTAAGTGATTTTTGTACAAGTATATGTTGGTTTTTGTGGCCTTTCAATTAAGTGAAGTGACATTTGTGCATGGTGATGATATGTTTGTCTGCACGTTTTTCTCTAATTCGATGCAATAAAAATATGAATGTTGCTTATGAGGTTGCTTTTGTCTTTTTTTCTTGAACTGGAGTTGCCCCTTCTTGAATGTTTTTGGCCCATTTTTATGGTTTTGTTACCCAACTTCTGGGTGGCATATTGGTGAAGACCTCTTATGAGGCTTATGCTTTCTTAGGTTCTTTAGCTTTTCAAGCATGTTAAAGTCTGCAATTAAAGTTAGTACTTGCATTTACATAAAAAAAATTGTGTACCATTTGAGGCTCGTTCCTTCTGAGGTTTTGCTCGCTTAGGCATGTATATTTTGAGGCTTGTGCCTTCATAGGCTTATGCCTTCTAGAAGTTTGAAATGTGTTAATGCCTTCTAAGGTCTTTAATGTACCAATGTATTGTAAGGCTTGTAGCCTTTTGAGGTCTTTAATGTACCTGTGTTTCTTGAGCTTTATAGCCTTCTATGGCATTTGATGTACTTGTATCTTTTGAGACTTTTAGACTTCTGAGATCTTTGATGTATTTGTATCTTATGAATATTGTAGCCTTCTGAGGTATTTGATGTATCTGTGTCTTATAAGGCTTGTAGCCTTCTGAGGCCTTTGGGTGGAGACCTTGTCAACCACTTATTGTATTGGAGTATTTCTAGTGAGGACCATGTTCACTACAAGCTTCCTATTGAGACTTGCCTCTTAGGCTCGTCTATCATGGGCATTGTAGCTTTCCATTGAGTCTTGCCTCTTGGGATTGACTTTCAGGGATGTCGTATTTTCCATAGAGTCTTATCACTTGGGCTCGACTACCAGGGGCATGGTAGTTTCACATCGAGTTTTGGGTTTTGGGCTTGACTTCTAGGGGTACTTTATCTTCCCATTGAGCCTTGTCTCTTAAGCTGAACTTCTAGAGGTATGGTAGCTTTCCATAGAGTTTTGTCACTTGAGCTCGACTTCCAAAGGTACTATATCATCCCATCGAGTCATGTCTCATGGGGCTCAACTTCTGGGGGGTATGGTTGAAAGGAGAATCCATTAATGATGTAAGATCCGTCCTGAGTTGTATAAGCAGAGATGCTCGACAGCATTAACCCGTAATGGACAAAGTCGTATGAAATCCACTGAGGATGGTTGACCTATCCTGAATTGTTGTTTGAAGCTTTTATTTGACGATTGTAACCTATTATATAAGAGGTTGAAGGAAATACAACAAGGATTTTTTACTAATCTGAGGTTGATATCCGAAGCTTCTGCTTAAAAACTGTAGCCTGTGATAGAAGAGGTCGAATCAAGTCTCCTTGGAGTCGATTAAACCTAGAGTGTGGGTTCATAGATGCTCTGCATTTCTCAAGATTGAGTGTATGTCGCAGCGGGTCTTATGTTTTCTTGGAAATATGGTTGCAATCATACTCAGAAATGACAATTTGTAAGTTGCTTTTTTTGAATTTATTGTCCCTCTGACGAGTGTGTTTTTCACACAAGATTGTAAAACAACTCATGTTTCGAGCCTTGAAAAGATCAACTTCCTAATTTGATTGAAGGAGAACTCTAGTATAGTGAAAGGGCGCTGAGAAAACATTATTTGCAACAAAGATTGCCCCCAATCTATAAGTGATTTTCAAATACTTCTTGTCCAAACGAAATGTGGGATGACTAACGACTTTTCAAGACTATAGTGATTATTGCCCCCTAGCCTAAGAGAAATTATGAAAGACTATGTTTGAATAGGATGTGAGAAGATAACCTCACTACAATCATGCTTGAGATGTTGATGCGAACGACCTTTCGAGACTGTAGTGAATGTTGTCCCTCACATCGAAGAATGTTCCAGAGATGATCTTCAAGATGCAAAGAAGGTTTCTTCAACTGTTGAATGATGTGTGTCATTGGGAAATAAAGTAAGGGATCAGTGTCTCAAAGTTCAATACAGTGTCAAACGATGCTTTGTTTTTCACAGATATCGATAAACTGACGCGTGCTGGAATATTCACGACGGTAGAGTAATATCTTATCGTCTTAGCATTGCACGAGAATTCAACTCACTATCAAATGAAAGAAACAACCCGTAGAGACACCATAAATTTTTACATGGAAAACTCTTGAAATGGAAAAAAATATCACAGAATTTGACCCAACTGAAAAGATCAATTTATGTTGTATATTTTCTTTATAGAGAGAACAGGTTTATGAAATCAAAACTTTAATTAATTCTGATTTTATTTCTGCCCATTAGACTAAATATTAGAAAAAAAAAAACAGAAATTTTCAGTTTTAAAAACCAAATATCAACTGACTTTTAAAAAAAAAAATATATCTGAATAGAAATAAATTTAAAAATGTTCACATATCAAAAATTATTATTATTATTATTATTAGAAATAAAAAAAAGGAAAAAAAAACCCCTAAAATCGTTTTTTAGTTTCTTTAAAATAAAAGAATCGAACTTTTCCGTGGAATATTTCAAATTTTAAGAAATTAAAAAAACTTATCTTTTATGGCATCTCTTCCTTTCAAAAGTATATTAAACTTTTATTTTTTTATATTTTAAATATTAAATTTATCATATTAAGAAAAAGACAAATAAGTAGAATTTACTTACATACCACCCCATTTCAATTTATTTACATTCTAGAACCAAATTTTTTTTTTTTTTTTTGCATTTATACCATCCAGTTCTTCCATATCACCTAAAACAAATATCACTATTTTAACTATTTTAAAAACCAAATACAACTTTTTATGCTTAGATAAAATTGTATGTAAACGAGCCGAACACGAGCGGACCCAAGCTCAGCCCGTGTTCGGCTCGTTTATATTTCTAGCTCAAAAAGTGTGTTCGTGTTCAACTCGTTTGTTTAGCGAACCGAACACGAGCCGTTCACGAACAAAGAGGCGTTTTGACAACCCTAATCATGTAGTCATAACATGTTAAGAATTGATATGATGTTAAGGATTGGGGGCAAGATTTAAAACATCATTTGAATCTAATTTAATAATTTTTATTCTATTTTCTTAATTAATACTTTTAATTGATTATAAATCTTTGTAGCCTTGTAGTCACTTAAATTTTTTAAAAATACTACTCATCAAATATATATATATATATAGTATTTCGAGCCAAAACGAGTCGAACACGAACGAACAAATATTTGTTCGTGTTGTTCGTGTTCGTCTCGTTAACTTGACAAACCCGCCGAACTGGGGGGTCGGCTAGGTTTGATTAGCTTCGAGTAGCTGGGCTGACCCGATCGGCTAGGTTTTGCCAATCGACTGATTTAATCTAGTTATTAACCCTTGATACCTCAATGAAGAGCTCTTATCGGCAAAATAAAACTATGTTATTTAGCAGAATATGAGTCACCATAACCTGATAGATATGACATTTCTTGACAAAAAGGGTCTTTTGGGACGATTATGATGGCCAATTGTATTGTCAATTTTGTGTTTATGATAAGGAATCTAAGTGGCGTTTATGGGACTGCTGGTAATATTGAAGTACTGAACTCTTTCCTGAGATTAGATCTACTGAAAGACAGGTCGATGACTTTTCTTAGCATTATTGTAATGATTTGTTCGGAGGCTTATAAGTTTTGTATTAGTCCAATTGGTTCAGATTTGGATCATTTAGTCCTCTCTTGGCTCGGTTGGCCTTCAACTTTTGCTCGAATGGCCACATCCGATTGAAAAAATGTGTCTCCTGATTTTCTATTGGTGGACCCTCCTTTATGGTACTTCTTTGCTTCTAGATTGTTGGATCTTCTCAAGATTTATGTTGACACATTTTTTATGTACACAAATACTAAAGCATGCAGCTCCATATTTTACCTAACGAACTACTCATGTTTTGCTATATATATGTGTGTATATATATATATATATATATATATGTGTTTATATTTATTTAAGAGTTTAGGTATTAGGTATATTAAAAATACTGGGAAATAAGAGATATGGGTGTAAGTTTTCATATATTTTTAATGTAAATCTAATGATTGAAAGCATATTATCATTAAAATTTAATCAGAATATTATGATCAATTATTTTAATTTCGAGGCAGAAAAATTGACTAGATATGCAAATTTCGGATTTGACTTGACTTTAGTCCGAATTTTATGTTCTTAAATCAAAATTAACAAATTTAAGGCTAGTTATGACTTAATTATTGTTCTTTCTCATTTGTAATAAGGGCTACTAACCGCCGGTTTTCGAACCTGGTGGCTCGAGATAGCATTTTGGTTCGTTGTATTTGATTTCGAGTTGAGCCAGCTCGAAATTGAATCGAGTTTAATCTTGCTTGAAATTGAAACGAACTAACTCAAATTGAGTTATTTGGATCCGTTTCAGGTCTGAATATGCTCGATTCGACTCAAAATCGAAACTAATTGGGTCAAATTGAGTTATTTGGATTTGTTCCGGCTCGAAATTGGTTTGTGACTCCTTTATTTTGATCTGATCTTGATCCAAGCTAAAATTCTAATTGATTTTCAAGCAATTAATGATGTTCGAACTAAATGCAGGGCCCTATTTGTAATAGTTTTTGATGAAATGATTTTATGATGCAAATACAAGGTTGAAGAGAAGGAGGTGAAGAGGTTATGCAATACGAGCACGATTATTACAGTGAACGGGCAGTTTCCAGGGCCCACTTTGGAGGCTCATAACGGAGATAGCTTCGTCGTCAAAGTTGTCAACCGGGTCAAATATAATGTTACAATTCACTGGTATGAAACACTAAAGTTTAGGGGTTAGATATGTAAATATATAAGAATTGAGTGATATATACGTAAATTTCCAAAAAAATACTTAGAAATTCTCATGTATTTATATGTCTAACACCCAAGCCTTCATATTTATACTTATGACACCTTAGTGTCATAGAGCTATGAGTGTAAATGAGTTAAGTCCAGTCAAGTCGAGCTCGAGTCACCCTCGACTTGATCTTTAACTTGAGCTTGATTAATTTTATCGAGATCAAGCTCGAGCTTATGTTTACGAGTTCGTGTCAATTTACCAGCCGGCTTGCTTACCTTAAGAGAAGGAATATAATATTAATTTAAGGTGTTGTTATAATAAAATGTCAAATAGAATTAATACTTTGGAGATAAATAATAAAAAAAATCACTTATTATAAAATGCAAAATATATTTTTAAAAATATTTTTCATATTTAAAAAATAAATTATTTGAATTTAATATATTTTTAGTATATTTTATATAAATATCTTTTTTATTTACATTTGTGCATTAATACCCCTGATTATTTATACAAACTTGATCTAGATGATTCAAATATATATAATAATTAATAGAAAAATCTGGTTATTTTTTTAATTTTAAGAATTATTAGTCAAACTCATTAGATATTAATTAGATTTAGACATCTAGTTGTTTAATTTAATTTTTCATCATATTTATGCCTCTAATAATATATATATAATTATGTATTATATAAGATAAAAAATTGAATAAGAATATAGACTTAAGTCAAAATAAATAAATAAATAAATTTTTTTAAAAATTTTTTTATCCTCTCATTTATGGGCGGAACCCATGGAATTTGTAATTTCTATATAGTTATATTACCATATTATGTCATAAATTGAGGTATATAATAGTTCTATGATATATTTTAATGCATGCCTTCATTATATCTTACATATTAATACATGTTTGACATTTAAATGTCATTTTCAGGCATGGATTGAGGCAAATGAGAAATGGATGGGCGGATGGGCCCGCCTATGTGACCCAATGTCCAATTAAGTGTGGTGGGACTTACACGTATAGGTTCAATGTCGAGAGCGAAGAGGGTACATATTTTTGGCATGCTCATGCCCCTTGGCTCAGGTTCACCGTTCATGGCGCCATCATCATATACCCCAAGTTATCTTCCTCCTATCCTTTCCCTAAACCACAAAAAGAGGTCCCCATCATTCTTGGTATGATACAATTATTCTTCGAATTATTGTCATAATATTATTTGTATTAAAATAAGAGCATCAAAACACTATACAAATACAAAATATTATAAAATAAACCTTTTTATATTAGCTAATAAAATAATTCCCCAAAAAAACTAAGATAATGACTATGGTTGTAACATATGGCAGGAGAATGGTGGAACATGAATTACATTCAAGAGTCAAAGAAGAACATAGAGAACGGAGGATTTCCCATTCTCAGTGATGCCTTTCTCCTCAATGGCCAACCCGGTGATCTCTTTGAGTGCTCTAGCAATGGTATATCTATATATATAAATATTTAGGATCATTTATATGTGTCGCGTACCCCGCCCTGTTGGTTGATATCCATGATATAAAACCCGTCAGGTCAGAGGTTCGAATCACCTCTCACACAGTTGGTCTTAAGAAGATGGTACTTGAATTGTTAGGCACGTTAGGGGTGGCTTAAGGCTCGTACAATAAACTCTGGTCATTTCTTTATATATATATATTTATATATATATATATATATATCAGAAGGAAATTCGTATTTGGCAGAGACTTAAATACCGATTTCTAATGTGCTAGGCCCCATGATGAGAGTCGTGCGCCATGTGTCTAAATATTCGAGAACTCAACACCGCTGAGGATCGAACCTGTGACATGAGGAGACTTACACACACACACACACACACACACACACACACACACACACACACACACACACACACACACACCGTGTGTTAGATAAGATCATTTATGTACAAGCCATACAATTCGTATGTATTTACTTATCTAACCCTTACAATAACACAATCCAACTACATATGCAAAATATATAGAAATTGGATTGGTATATTTGTAAAAGTTGCATAAAAGTTTCATATATGCATAAGATATTAAATTTGTGGCATGGGCAGAAACAATGGTGATCGCCGCGACTGCCGGCGAAACCATACTCCTCCGCTTCATCAATGCAGCAATGAATGTCGAGCTCTTCGTCTCCATCGCCAGCCACGACATGAACGTCGTTGCGGTCGATGGCTCTTACATCAAACCCTTCAACACCTCCTACCTAATCCTCGGCCCCGGCCAGACAACGGATGCCCTAATCTACACCAACCGAAGCCGGGGGCGTTATTACATCGCCGCCCACCCCTTCGCCAACGGCTATCCAACCGTCCCATTCCTGAACTCCACCATACTCACTTACGACGCATACATCCATTCCAATCCCCTCTTCCCCATTCTCCCCGCCAATGTTGACAAAGCTTCCGCATTCAATTTCGGGTTGAATCTCAGAAGCCCTAGCCCAATTATAGTCCCCGAACCTGTGGACGAAGATCTGCTCATTGTTGTCGACCTCCGCTTGGTTGCAGGGCATAAAATAAATGCGAGCATGAATGATATTTCCTTCATGGCTCCTGGAACAAATTCGATTCTCCAAGCCGCGTATTACAATCAGCCCGGTGTTTTCAGGTGTGATTTCCCCTCTCACCCGGCTAAGAAATTGAACCATACGATAAAGGGAACTAAGATCTATAGGATCAAGTATGGGGCGGTTGTTCAAGTTGTGTTGCAGGGAGGCACAACATTGGTGTCGGAAGTCATTTGCATGGGTATGCTTTCTATGTGATGGGGAGGGGGATTGGTGAGTTTGTGAGGGAGAGGGATGGGGGTAAGTTGAATATGGTGGATCCGCCGTTGAGGAATACCGTGGGGGTGCCGGCGGCGGGGTGGACCGTGATAAGGTTTGTGGCGGATAATCCGGGGGTTTGGCTGATGCATTGTCATATAGACCTGCACTTTCAGTGGGGGATGGCAATGGCGTTTTGGGTGGAGAATGGGGTTGGGGAGATGGAATCCGTTAGGCCTCCGCCACCTGATCTTCCACATTGTTGATTGTGATGATAGTAACAGAGTTTAACAAGGTTGTTGTTGAGGAGGAGGGCTGATAGTTAATATATTGAGATGTTTAATGTGGAATGTTTACAAATGATTTCATGTTTAGAAGATTAAAGAGTTGTTTCATGATATGATTGATTTTATATGTCATGGATCAAGTATTATGTTCTAGTTTTAATTTTTCTCTCTCATTTTGATATGAAAGAAAGCATATTTAATATCTTAATTGTTATCTTTAACTTTTAATCAATTGCACTGTTTAGTTATCAGACTGATCTTATTTTGTTTCATTGAAAATTATAGTCATTGATAAATTGATGAATATGCTTTTGCATGTTGTAATAATTATACTCTCAATAAAATGATGTTTATAGTTTGTGTAGGGGTGTAAACGAGCCGAACACGAGCGAGCCC